TACCCTCAATATGTGATCCAGTTTCTCACCTCTATCTCCATGTCTGAGCACCTCTGTCCACTTCAGCAGGAGTCCTATCAGAGCGAAGAATTAAGAACTCCTGGTTGCAAATGCTCAGACTCTGATAAATTACTTCTACATTCCTGCCCTTTGTCAAGAGGCCGCCGCTTGTCTGTGGAGTATTAACACAGTCTAGCCCTACTGACAGGAAGGACTGTGGGTACAGCCTAGCCGTACAGCACTTGCCTAGTGTGCAAAACTGTAACCTTGACACCGGAAAGAAACCTATGGCAAAGCCCCATTTCTCCTATTACAACAGCTCCTGCCTCGACCCTGCCTTTACCGCTCTACTCTTGGCTCTGGCTCTAAGGATCTTGCAAACACACTATGTACCCATAAACACACATGCATTTGCTCACTGTCTCACGACCCACCTGGCCCCCATCAGGATCCCATGGGTATGTAAGCTGACTTGAGTCCTCAACGAAACGATGACCCTTTGGAATAAGCCGTCTACAGAGCACACCCTAAGTACAGTGTCTGCCCTGAGCTTGCTGGCTGTGAGCAGGAGGGTGGCCCCTCTTCCACTATCCTTCCTTCCTTAAACAGGTTCTTCCTCAAGCCACACAGAGTTCAGCTAAGGGGGTCTAAGGCACAGTCAGTGCACCTTCTGGAAGCAAGCTGAGCGCACACAGAGCATCTGGCGCCCACTGGATAACTTGTTTCTATTTCTTGATTTCCTCTGGTTGAGACTAGCTGCTCAAGTGCCTGGCTCTTCCAGCAGTCCCCTCATTTTGGCTTTTCCTGTGGTTCCTCCTCAGGACATGCCACCTCCTAGCCTCAGCTCTGTGGGACCCTCAGAGTTCACTCATTGCTCCTGTTTACTTCCTCAGCCTGACGTCCTGTGCCCCTTCCCACTTCCCACAGACTTTCCCTGGAGGTCTTGCCACACAGCCCCTCCTCTGAAGCCTCCGCCCTCTGCAGGGTTTACAACCCCTGTCCCTCTTTGCTTGTTTGGCCCTGGACAGGAACTCACTGGACTCAGGTATTCTGTTTCTCCAACGAACTGAGCCCAGGGACAGACCTCCGCTTTTTCTTTCCCTTAGTATTTGGCATGAAACAGTAGCTCAGGATGCTCTGCCCCGCTGGAAGCCACAGAAAAGTCACACCCAAGGAGGAGTGGGTGGAGCCCTCATGACAGCTGTGGGTCAAGGGAGGTTGGCATGGGTTGAATAGTCACAGCGGAGCTACGAAACCACCAAGCTTGTGGAACCTGATGCCTCAGACGGGGGTCACCCAACTCTCAACTGGGGGCTTCTGCTCCATTACTTCTTGATGTTGGTACAGACCTCAGAAAAGAGACTACATCAGGCTGTGCTGTAAGTGCTTGTCCCAGACCTGCCAAAGGGATGCTCCTCGGCCCTGCTTTGCGTGCCCCTCACCTCACGGTTCTTCTCTCAATAGGACAAAATATTTCACCCCACTACCCCCGATCCCCTTCTGCTCTTAGGAACTGCGACTCATGGAGGCCTTACTAGGAAGTTAGTGTCTTGTCATTTCCTTCCCACAAAAAGCACCTGTCCTTTGAGACCCATCGAGGTGTGACTGGGAAGGGGCAATCGATTATTAATAATACAGTCACATGCGTGAAGAACTAAACGGGCTCCCGGAAGTCCTCTGAAGTGTCTCCTCCGAATACAATGCAGAGAACAGCTCTGGATACAGCAGCAGGTTTTGCTCAGTGGCACGTGACTCTGGGAATGACACAGTCTGCCGAGCAGGGCACGGTTAGGAGAGCACTACAGTAGTGGCAGAAAGGGGTGGAACCAAGAGCCACGGTGATGATGGGCATCTGCAATCTGACCAAAGGCCTTTCGGGCACCCAAGAAGTTCCCTGCTAACTTATCTAACTCACCGAGGGCATCAACACAAAGAGATGCCACACAGACCTGTTGAACAGACAGCCTGCCGCTCTCCTGTCTATGAATCATGGGAAGTGCCCATTTGCACCCGCCCTTTAGAACATGAATCCGTTCGTGGTGCTAGACTCTACAGCTTCCTCCCTTTACACTCCCGCTTAAAAAACAAACAAAAAGCCCGGGGACCAGCCAAGGTAATGTCCCTGCCACAGGATGCCACGTGGCTGTGACAGGGAGGGGCAGGGAGGAAAGTCGCCCCAGGAGGCCTGTTTCATTTCGGCTCCATTTCTGTGCCCCCCACAGGCCGAGATTCAGACCACGTATGTAACTATCGAGCCATCAGCATCAGGAAACTCAAGAGCAGCCACTACTCTGCTCTAACTGGGAGCAATGGGCCAGGTAAAGCATGAAGGGCTGTCTGGGGACTCACATATGCTCAGCTTTCGGGAGAAAAGGAGAGGGAGCTGGCCCTGGCTCCAGACTCCCTGGGGTGTGGGATTTGGGCAAGGCTCCTTAATGGAGCTGGGAAGACACATTCGCAACCCAGATAGGCAGACTCCAGGAGGTGCCGTTCACAGGGGCTGCCTCTCTTGCAAATTAAATTGCCTGCTCACCAGCAGGGAGAGGCTGGGCTGCCCTCTGGCCACCACCCCTTCCTTCTTTCCATTTCACAGAAAATGGTTTTTCCCACTATACCAGTAGCTAACAAACAAGGACTTCCTACAGTCACTGATTAAGACCGCGCCTCAGCTATGAGCCTGTGGTCACTGAAGGGTGGCTGTTTTCAGTTTCTTCAGAGGCTTGCTCCGAAGCCTAAATGAAGCACAATACTCCAGCAAGCCGCTCTGCTGCCTGGTTGGAATAGCACCTGCACGGTTCGCTGTGACTTGGCGTAGCCTCCCACACGCTCTGGAATATATGTCAATATATAGGCTAGAATATATGTCAATACACCCCCGAACTTGCCTCCTACTGACAGAGACCATTATACCCAATTCTCCCATATGTAAATTGGTACCCTAAATGTTGCCTCCCAAATTCCAGGTCTGTCAAAGATAACTTAGATTTAAAAAAAAAAAAAAAATCTGTTTTGCTGCAAATTTCCTTCCCTCCGCTGCACATAAGGAAGAGCTGAAGCAGGTTTTAGAGATGACTGACACACAGATCACAAGCTTCATTAAACAATGCCCTTCGTGCCCTTGTTAAATGGTGCCACCTAAGAAGCCCAAGAAAGGCAGGATGTCGTGGCATGCCCCTCACCCTGTGTACATTCATTATTCATGCAGTATGCACTGACTGAGTAGCCACTGTGTGTGTGAACCAGGTACACACCTAAGTTCATGTGTACGAAAGGGACGGCTAAGTACCTGTGTCCGTGCAGGTACATGAGCATCAGTCTGAAGAGTCCAGGCAAGACACACCAAGTGAGAGAACAAAACGTTTATTCCAGCCCAAATGAGGAGAGCCACCCAAGGAGAAAACATGAGTTCTAATTGCCCAGAGTAAGTGTTCCAAAATGGCACCCAAAGGGTCCTGGTTTTACCGTTTCACGGATCTAAGCTGGGGGAAAGAGCTGGGCATGTAGCTTCATGACAGTGTGCTTGAGTAGCATGTACAAGTCCTGGACTCCGTCACTCGCACGGAGGAAATGATAAAAAGTAGGATTTATTGATCCCTGACTAGCGTGATGGCGTTCACCTGTAACCCCAGAACTCCTCGGGAGAGCAGTGGAGGACTGGGAATCTGGTCCCAGCCTAGGCTTCCTATCAAGTTCAGGGCTAGTCTGTGATCCATAGAGTTTCTAAAATAATATAAAATATTACATGTAAAAGGGACAAGAAAGAACATAGAGCAACTGGAGGTAGAGAGCAGCCTAAGAGTTTCATCGGTCATCACTTACACATCCCAGCCTACAGAAGAAAAGGGTTTGGGTGAGTGTATTTCTTACCACTATGGCATCAAAGTCTCCAAAAACCTGTCCAGCTGGGGTATCTTGTCTTATGTGTCCTCCAGATTGAAGAACTTTGTGATCTCATTCCTGTGACATTTTCCTGTTTTTTTTTTTAATCTAAAAATGTTTTTCCAAAAATCCAAAAGTGCTTGCTCACATGAATGTTTGCGAAGACCTGGTGTCCACGGACCTCAGAAGATGTGTCTAGCCCCCAGGAACTGGAGTTGCAGACGGTTGTGAGTGGCCACATGGGTCTGGGAGCTATTTCAGTCCTCTTCAAGAGCGCCAAACTCTTAAACCATCTTAAACTCTAAACCATCTCTCAGCCCTCTAGCGACCTCTCAATTTTTCTTACTTTCCATCTTTGACCAAACTTTTCTCAGAGTTAAAGTTCTGAAGGTCCAGTGCTCATTTTCCACAGGGAAGAAACGGGTGAACGGATAGGTGACACCAGGTGTAGGCAGCTGAAGTCATACATGTGTGTTAAGTTCACGGTGTCCATTCCTGGGGCCATGTCTTTTCATTCCGCCCCCATGTTGGAATGCTGGAACACACAAAAAAAGAACCAACAAGTCCTGAGAATGCTCCTCACTCCCAAAGACCCTATGTTCTGCTTGAAGCCGAGGAGTCGAGGTGAGGATGACGACGATATGGTCGGTCCATGGCTGAAAATGGACGGAGACATTGCCATCAATGAGGACCTGGTAGAATTGGGTCTAATCAGCATTAAGTGCCCCTCTGTAGGGCATCTGTGGATGAAGAGAGAGTGCCCTCTTTGTTTCTTCAAAATTCAAAGTCCAGTCAAATTTTATCTTCGGGAATGTAAGCCAACCAGTTTAGTATAAACCAAGGGTCACAAAAACAGGTTCTCCATTGATTTAGCCATCGTCTTCTTCATAGTCATTCAGCCTGATTTTGACGGGCATTGCATAGACGCATCCGTTTGTTCACTAAAGTTCTGAAAAGCTTCATGGAGTCTAATAGTGTGAACTTAGGAGAAGCTGAGCCAGGCAGAGCAGCCTGCTGGGTCTGAGGTAGCCCACGATACTTCCGGTTCCTGGTCCCTCGCCCCAAGCACGTGGGGGGGCGGGGCTTGGCAGGAGCACTTCCGGTCCCTGCGGCTCTCTGGCATGGAGGCCTCCTGGTCTTCGCTGGTGAGCAGCCTGGACGCCCCAGACCCGCAGCTGCAGCATTTCGTGGAGGTGGAGACGCAGAAGCAGCGGGTGCAGCTGCTGGTCCATCACATGACTGAGCTGTGCTGGGAGAAGTGCATGGACAAACCCGGGCCCAAGCTGGACAGCCGGGCCGAGGTCTGTTTGGTGAACTGCGTCGAGCGCTTCATCGACACGAGCCAGTTCATCTTGAATCGACTGGAGCAGATCCAGAAGGCCCGGCCGTTCTTCTCGGAAAGCCTCTCTGACTGATCTCGGCGGAAGGAAGGTAGGCTGGGGAATGAAGAGCTCTGAGGGGATGGTGGTAGAAACCCTCAGGGCACGGCTCCCGCTTCTTCTAAGAATTAGGAATGATTAATTGTTTGGTGTTTGTGGGGCTTCAGGGTCATGGGGTTTGAGTTGTGGGTCGTTATTTCTTACCTTTGATAGCGAGGGTGTCTCTATGTAGCCCTGGCTGGCCTGGAACTTTGGCATCTGCATCTGCCTGCTCCTGCCTCCTGAGTGCTAGGATTAAAGGTGTACACCACCGTGCCTGAGGAACCAGGAGCTCTGGGTTGTGTTTTTATTTCTATTTTTTATTTTATGTGCGTGCGTGCGTGTGTGTGTGTGTGTGAATGTGAGCCACATGAGTGCAGATCTCATGGAGGCCAGAGAGGGCTTCGTGTGTGTGTGTGTGTGTGTGTGTGTGTGTGTGTGTGTGTGTGTGAGAGACTGTAAGCCACATGAGTGCAGAGCTCATGGAGGCCAGAGAGGGCTTCGTGTGTGTGTGTGTGTGTGTGTGTGTGTGTGTGTGTGTGTGAATGTGGATGTAAACCACATGAGTGCAGAGCTCATGGAGGCCAGAAGAGGGCTGCAGATCCCTCTAGCTATAGTTACAGGTGGTTATGAGACACCCAGTGTGTGTTCTGAACTGGGGTCCTCTGGGAGACTAGAAAGTGCTGTTAACAGCTAAGCCATCTCTCCAGCCCGTGAATCGTGTTGAATTGGCTATCTTGTGGACGTGATTGACAGATAAATGGAGAGCTGCAGAGGTATATGGGAGGCCTAGGGTTCCTTGCTGCTGAAGTTTGATAGTGGAGCTGCTTTCCATAATTTGGGACCGCACTGTGAGAATTCATTTTAGATATTATATTAGGGCAGATGTGGAACCAGGCTTGACGATTTAATCCTAGCACTGGGAGCCAGGTGGATTGCAAATTTGAGGCCAGTGTGGGATATAAAGTGAAATACTGTATTTCTTGAGGGTTTCTTAACGAAATCAACATTATCATTACAATTATGACTGAAAATGTACAAGCTGTATCTGATTCTAGGAATCTCATACCATTTTGGAACACATACTAAAATATAGGTCTCTTGAACTTTTGGGTGCCTTCTAGAAATCTCAGAGTTTTTAGAATTTGATATGAAGATATTTATTAAAAAGATAAAGACATTTGAGATGATCGATAAGTGTTACCTTGGTACATCACTCAATCAAAGTCACAATAAAAAAGCTTAAAAGGGAGAACAATGAGATGGATCAGAGGATAATGCTTATCGCATGAGCTTAGCAACCTTCATTTGATCCGTGGAGCCCACATAAAAGTGGGTAGGGAGAACTAACTTTACAAAGTTTCCCCTTGGCCTCCACGTGTGTGCAGTGACATACATGCACCCCAAACAATAATAATTCATTTTTTAAAGTCTTAAATTATGTTTTAGTGAAAGCTCAGTTCTTTCAAGATGGAGAAGACTCTTCCGCAATCAGGACCGAGTAAAAGAGCACAGAACTCTTCTTTGTTTACCGAGCTGCTCCTGAGTCTGGGGTGTCCTGTTTTCACCCCCTCCCCCAGATAGGAATTGGTAAACAGAGGTTTACCGGGCTGCTCTGAGTCTGGGGTGTCCTGTTTTCACCCCCTCCCCCAGATAGGAATTGGTAAACAGAGGTTTACCGGGCTGCTCTGAGTCTGGGGTGTCCTGTTTTCATCCCCTCCCCCAGATAGGAATTGGTAAACAGAGGCTGGCTTATTTAGCGTTTCTGCAGAACTGGGAAGGGGAGGAGTTTAACTTCTCGTTGCTAGGGATACACATGTGAAGGGTTGGCTGGGAGAGAAGCCAGGAGAGGCCCTCCCTGGGAGAGATGCTGGCAGGGTATTGGGTTCTCCTCGGTCTGAGTGGGGTTCTTTTGATTCCTGTTACACTGGTAGAATGCCCTCTGTCTTTCTTGACCACTCCCCATTGTTGAGGGCCTTGGATTGCTCTGCCATCTATCACAGAACTCATGAGAAAGTCCTGAAATATGTCTGTACCTGGAAGAAATAAGCAAAGTATATGTGGAAGCCGAAGTCAGAAGGGATCCTGTTAGTGAGGTCACCTTGGGAACTGGAGATGTAGCTTGCTGCTTTTTCCTTCTGCTGAGAACCATTGCCTGTCTAGTGGCTCTCAACAGTTTGCTGGGACCCAACACCCTATCCTCACCCCCGAGGACCTTCTACACCCCATGGTACAGTTTCATCCTCATAAGGGGCTGGAGGGATGGCTCAGTGATTAAGAGCACTGGTCGTTCTTCCAGAGGACCAGGTTAAATTCCTAACACCCACATGTAGAGGCCAAGGGAAAACTTTGTAAAGTTAGTTCTCTCTACCCACTTTTATGTGGGCTCCACGGATCAAATGAAGGTTGCTAAGCTCATGCGATAAGCATTATCTTCTGATATCCACATTTACTCACAACTACTGTAACTACAGTCTCAGGGGATCCAGCACACCTCCTTCTGGTATCCATGACCACTACATACACATGGTGAACATGCAGGTAAAACACCCATACACATAAAATAGAAATAAAGGTTAAAGAACTATACACATAAAATAAAATAAAATAAATATTTAATGGAAAAGAACCTGGTTGTAATCTCTCAGCTTTGCTTACTTTTGGAAGGGCTGGTACAACTGACTCCATTTTTTCCCTCCTCCCTCTCTCCCTCCCTTCTTCCTTCCTGTGTGTCGATGTCTTGTTTGACAACTTCATCCCTTGTCTCTGAACATTTTCTTGGAAGGCATTGCTGATCACCCATCCAGTGTTTCAGTCTTGGTCACTTGTTGCCAGGATGAGATTGCTTCGGTTGCTCTGGTCTGGTCCTGTGCTGGTGAGTGGCAGGCAGTGACAGAAAGGCCCTTTCAGTCAGAGTAGAGTATGAGAGGCCAGGTCTAGAAGGATGGACTGTTAGGCCGTATTTGCCTAGAGGCCATTTTTTAAATTGAATTTTGCTTTTCTTATACTTGACAGCCTAGCCTCTTAGAACACTAGCAGGTGGTTTTGTTCTAAGATTTCCTTAAGAGGCAACATTCCTGGCACTTTGAGTTTTGTTCTCTACTTTTTGTTCCTACTATCTCTGTGTGTGTGTGTGTGTAGGTAGAGACAGAGAGAGAATCTTATACGGTCAAGATGACCTCATTAGCCCTGAACTCCTTGTCCTGTTCCTCCACCTTCCACATGCAGGGATTATAGGCAGGTACACCATACGTGGCATTGAATTTATCATAACATGAACTTAAAGCTTTATAAGCCATATAAACCTGGACATTACATTTTCATTTTATCAAAATTTAAGAAAGATTTGGGGGCTGGCAAGATGGCTCAGGTACTAAATTTGTTTCTTGGCAAGCTTAACAACCTGAATTTAGTCCTGTACCTAAAATGGCAGATTTTGCAAGTTGTCCTCTGACCTCCACATATGTTTTGTGATACACACACACACACACACACACACACACGTTGTTTTTTCCCATATCAATGAGGTTACAACTACATAACCTGCAAACACATGTATATATAGAAGTTTACATGTAGACCTAAGGTGCACATTCATACACTAAAATACAGATGAAAACAAAATCTTACAGCTTTCATCTTGGGTTTTTCACTTGCTGACTTATAAGTGATCTTACGTCTTATTACATTTTATTGTCCCAGGTGATCTATATAGCCAAGCAATCCTAAATTTGCGTTGTAAAGGTAAGACTTTTTGTTGAAACAAGGTACAAAATGTACATCTTAAGTAAACAGAACTTAACTCTAAATATCCCTATTCGCTTGGAAAAGAAGAGACTATACAAAGGCCCAGGTCAGATAAAATGGCCAAGGGAGAGACTTGTGTAGATTTAAGGCCTTTTTGTGGATCGTGAGTCTGTAGAGAGGGTTCACCATTAGAGTAGAAATGGTTTTCAGTTTTGTTTTGTAAAGACTTTGAGAATAGGAAGGTACAATGTCAGAACGTCATGGAGCTTAGTCGAGCTGGGGGACATCGTCCTTCTCGTGCAGGTTACTGTATTACCTTACTGGCTCCAGAGCACAGCCCTGTAACAAACAAGGCACAGAGCATTTTCTGTGCCTGCTTGGCCACCTTTGGAAGGCATCTGTATGAGTTACTTTTCTGTTGCTGTGACAGAATGCCATGACCAGTGTTGTTCTTAATTCCTGCGGGTTGTTCTTAATTCCTGCGGGTTAGACGAGGGTTACGCTAGAAAAGACACAGACTCGCGGCGGTACCACGTGGTACACTTTTTAATGGGAGGGGAAAACACACTAGGAAAAGTGAAAGGAAGGGACAAAGGGAAGGGACAAGAAGGGGAAGGGAAGGGGCGAACTCGTGGCTTGTCCTTGCTTTTAACGGAGGATGCAAAGGCTTCTGGGAAATGTGTCCCGCGCTTGCGTGCGCTGGAGTCCAGAGGGATGCTGGGAGTTGTAGTGTTGCAAGGGAACAACAACCAGAGGTGACTTGAGAGACTGGTCCAGATAGGGACCTGTAATGGCAGGGGAGGCTAAAGCAGGAAGCCAAGTGAGCACATTTCAACTGTAAACATAAAGCAGAGAGAGAGAGAGAAAGCTGGAAGTGGGGCAAGGCTATAAGCTCTAAAGCTTCCTCAGCAGGCCTCCACCTTCTACAAGTTCTGTTTCCTCTGCTAATAGCGCCACCAACTGGGGACCAAGTGTTCAGTATCTGAGCCTACGGGGAACATTGTTCATCCAGACAATTGCAGCATTTTTACACATGTGAAAACTTTTTTGCTTAACTTTCCTTTTTTTTGAGATTTATTTTTAATGATAGGTATGTATGTATCTGTGTGTGAACGTATGTGCATGTGAGTGCAGGTGCCTGAGAATGCCAGAAGGGGTCGCCAGATCCCCTGCAGCTGGAGTTGCAGGAACTTCTCTACATGGATGCTCAAAACTGAACTCAAGTCCTCTGCAAGAACCAATATGTGCTTTTAACCACAGAGCCAT